AATTCCAAGGCCTGGGCCCCACAGCTCCCTGGCAGCAGCATTTGAGCTTTATAAGGCAGCGAGCGTAAATTGTTTCTAGGTGCTGAGGAGGCTGGGGATACAGGAGGCAGCGCGTCCACATCTCCCCTCCCCCACCTGGCAGTCCCCTCCCATCGAGGTACTGATAAGGTATTGCAGTCCTGACTGTGTCTCCCTGAGATTTAAGAGAGGTATCAGGAGACACACCCTCTGTGTTTGGTTTCCATCCCCAGCCCTGCCCTTTGCTGCTGGGAGTAAACCAAAGCAAAAGCACTCTGAAATGGAACCAAGTCACTATTCTCTCCTATCTGGAATCTGGGCGAGACTTTGCGGTCTTAGGAAAAGCATGCTGACCTGGGGGCAGGGGACGTGGGCCTCAACCCTGGGAGCCACTAGTGCATGCTCCTGGACAGTCGTTCTTTGTGGTCTTAGTAAAAACATGCTGACCTGGGGGCAGGGGACGTGGGCCTCACCCCTGGGAGCCACTAGTGCATGCTCCTGGACAGTCATTTTTGTGGTCTTAGTAAAAGCATGCTGACCTGGGGGCAGGGGACGTGGGCCTCACCCCTGGGAGCCACTAGTGCATGCTCCTGGACAGTCATTATCTGGGCCTTGGGTTAGGTTCCCCCCTTTTTTTTTTTTTTTTGAGACAAAGTTTTGCTCTTGTTGCCCAGGCTGGAGTGCAGTGGCGCGATCTTGGCTCACTGCAACCTCCGCCTCCTGGGTTCAAGTGATTCTCCTGCCTCAGCCTCCCAAGTAGCTGGGATTACCGGCACATACCACCACACCCAGCTAATTTTGTATTTTTAGTAGAGACAGGGTTTATCCATGTTGACCAGGCTGGTCTTAAACTCCTGACCGCAGGTGATCCACCCACCTCAGCCTGCCAAAGTGCTGGGATTACAGGTGTGAGCCCCCACACCTGGCTAGGTTCTCCTTTTTTTTTTGAGACAGAGTTTCACTCTTGTTACCCAGGCTGGAGTGCAATGGCGTGATCTCGGCTCACCACAACCTCCGCCTCCTGCGTTCAGGCAATTCTCCTGCCTCAGCCTCCTAAGTAGCTGGGATTACAGGCACGCGCCACCATGCCCAGCTAATTTTTTTGTATTTTTAGTAGAGACGGGGTTTCACCATGTTGACCAGGATGGTCTCGATCTCTTGACCTCGTGATCCACCTGCCTCGGCCTCCCAAAGTGCTGGGATTACAGGTTTGAGCCATGGCGCCCGGCCGGTTCCCCTTCTTTAAACTGAAGGTTGGGGGTCAGGGGTTCTCCTCTCATGGAACATCAGAATCACTTGGAGAGATTTAACTAGCTGCAGCTGCCCATACCCAGGGAGGCCCAGGGAGCGTATTTTTGAAAACCCTTAGTTGATTCTTGTATCATCCAGCTGAGAAACACTCACAGATGACTCTAAGGACTTTTGTAGTATTATGATTCAGTAATTCTGATAAGAAAATAAACTGGGTCGGGCGCAGTGGCTCACGCCTGTAATCCAGCACTTTGGGAGGCCGAGGCGGGCGGATCACGAGGTCAGGGGTTCCAGACCAGCCTAACATGGTGAAACCCGGTCTCCACTTAAAAATACAAAAATTAGCCGAGTGTGGTGGTACACACCTGTAATCCCAGCTACTTGGGAGGCTAAGGCAGGATAATCGCTTGAACCTGGGAGGTGGAGGTTGCGGTGAGCTGAGAGAATGCCATTGTACTCCAGCATGGGCGACAGAGCAAGACTGCATCTCAAAAAAAAAAAAAAAGAATCTTTTCTTGAGATTGTTACTTCAATGTTCAAGTTCTTAGTAAGCTGAGAAAAATAAAGCTTTTTTTTTTTTTTTTTGAGAATATCTCTTGCTCTGTGGCCAGGTGTGGTGGCTTATGCCTGTAATCTCAACACTTTGGGAGGCCAAAGCAGGCAGATCACTTGAGGTCAGGAGTTTGAGACCAGTCTGGTCAACATGGTGAAACCCCATCTCTACCAAAAATATAAAAATTTAGCTGGATCTGGTGGCACATACCTGTAATCCCAGCTACTCAGGAGGCTATGGGAGAATTGCTTGAACCTGGAAGGCAGAGTTTGCACTAAGCCAAGATCACACCACTGCACTCCAGCCTGGGCGATGGGGAGAGACTCCATCTCAAAAAAAATACAAAACAAACAGAAAAAGAAAGTGTCTTGCTCTGTTGCCCAGGCCTGAGTGCAGTGACAGGATCTTGGGTTACCACAGTGGAACCTGCCAGGCTTAAGCAATCCTTCCAGTAGCTGGAACTAATCAGGAGGCAGAGGTGGAAGGATACTCAGGACAGGTGCATGCCACGATGCCTGGTTAATTTTATTTTTTGTACAGATGGGAGTCTCACTATGTTTTTCAGACTGGTCTCAAACTTCTGGACTCAAGTAATCTTCCTGCTTTGGCCTCCTAAAGTGCTGAGATTAGAGGCATGAGCCATTGCACCTGGCCAAATGAAGGAATTTTAAAAAATCAGACATTAGGTAGGTCCTCAAAAAGTGTTGTTGAATATATCTGCTTTTCATCTCTTTTTATCCATTTTTCTTTATTTTTCTCCACCTCCTATTTTAATTTTTTTCTTAGAAACAAGGCCTCACTCTGTCATGCAGGCTGGAGTGCAGTGGCATGATCAGAGCTCACTGCAACCTTGATCTCCTGGGCTCAAGTAATCCTCTTGCCTCAGCCTCCCAAGTAGCTGGGACACCACTATACTGGCTAATTCTTTTTCTTCTTTTTAGAGACGGTGTCTTGCTATGTTGCCCAGGCTAGTCTTGAATTCCTGGCCTCAAGGGATCTTTCCACTTTGGCCTCCCAAAGTGCTGGGATTATAGGCTGATCTGCGGTGCTGGCCCTGGTCCCCTTTTCTAATATGTGGTTTTTTAATTTGAAAAACTGATTTCCTTATACATCATGAAAGAGCATTTCTATAGCCCCCTGGACTATGCTATTTCCTTCACCCAGTGTCTCCACTTCTAAAGTCCTCAGTTACCGTAAAACTCATTTATCTTTCTACAACATTAATTTGAGAAAGTTCAAGGGAATGTAACTTCCTGGAATCTGAAAAGAAGACCCATTGTCCACGAACTAGGCTCACAATGAGCCAGAGTGGGAAGGCAGGTTTTCCTGTCTGTACAAAAAAAGGTTAATTAGAATTTTGGTTGCAATAAATATCAATAATCTCCTCTTTGAAGCTATTTTAGAGAATGTTCCTGTAAGCCAGGCTCCTAAAAACAGTTTCTTTTGAACACTTTGACCATATTCAGGGCTCCCAGGCCCCTCAGCATGAGAGAAGTATTGCTAAAATGGCTTCTGGCCAGCAGTAACCAAATACCAGAGGCAGCCCTACCTCCAAAGCCTCACAGCTTCTCTTCAGACAGCAATGAAGTCTCAGTTTGGTGGAAATGACATCAGATCTCTTCACTGTTAACTGTGCTTTGTACCATAGAATGAAGTAATTCAGTTCAATTATTATAAAAAGTTACTTGCTGGCCGGGTGCGGTGGCTCACACCTGTAATCCCTCCCAGGTACTCGTGAGGCCAAGATAGGAGAATTGCTTGAACCCTGGAGGCGAAGGCTGCAGTGGGCCGAGATTGCACCACTGCACTCCAGACTGGGCAACAGAGAGAGACTCCGTCTCAAAAATAAAATAAAAAAAAGTTACTTGGTTCTTTTTTTTTTTTTTTTTGAGACGGAGTTTCGCTCTTGTTACCCAGGCTGGAGTGCAATGGCGCGATCTCGGCTCACCGCAACCTCCGCCTCCTGGGTTCAGGCAATTCTCCTGCCTCAGCCTCCCGAGTAGCTGGGATTACAGGCACGTGCCACCATGCCCAGCTAATTTTTTGTATTTTTAGTAGAGACAGGGTTTCACCATGTTGACCAGGATGGTCTCGATCTCTCGACCTCGTGATCCACCCGCCTCGGCCTCCCAAAGTGCTGGGATTACAGGCTTGAGCCACCGCGCCCGGCCTACTTGGTTCTTATTATGTGTCAAGTGCTTGCCAAAATGAGGAGGCCATGCTATTACCAATTTTAGCCTAGCACTTAAATAGCAGATATAGTATCAGTGCTGGTCAGTCCAGGTCAGCACAGAAGGTAGCCTGAGCTGAAAGCAGATGGAGTAGACAAAGCTGCTCAGGAAATGGTATTTAAATCCCAAAGCAGGCTCTGTGGGTAGTAGGAAGGAGGCATTCTGGGAAGTGGGAACATCAAGAGCACAAACTCAGAGGTGTGACAAAACATAGCATTGGAATGAAATGGCAATCAGTCCAATCAAGGAAAGAGGACAGATTGGACTGTCCTCTTTGGTACCAAAGGTGGGCTGATGTCAGATTACAAAGTCTGTGTGTAATTAGACTAATAAATTAATGCCACTGAAGAATGTTCCACAGGGAAGTGACATGATTTATTTTTTTGAGACAGAGGCTGGAATGAAGTGGCACAATCTCAACTCACTGCAATCTCTGCAGGTCCAAGTGATTCTTGTGCCTCAGCCTCTCAAGTAGCTGGGATTCAGGTGTGCACCAACATGCCCAGCTTAATTTTTTTTTTTTTTTTTTTTTGAGATGGAGTTTCGCTCTTGTTACCCACGCTGGAGTGCAACGGCGCGATCTTGGCTCACTGCAACCTCCGCCTCCCGGGTTGAGGCAATTCTCCTGCCTCAGCCTCCTGAGTAGCTGGGATTACAGGCACGTGCCACCATGCCCAGCTAATGTTTTGTATTTTTAGTAGAGATAGGGTTTCACCACGTTGACCAGGACGGTCTCGATCTCTCGACCTTGTGATCCACCCACCTCGGCCTCCCAAAGTGCTGGGATTACAGGCTTGAGCCACCGCGCCCAGCCAGTTTTTTGTATTTTTAGTAGAGACAGGGTTTCACCATGTTAGCCAGGATGGTCTCTATCTCCTGACCTCGTGATCTGCCTGCTTTAACCTCCCAAAGTGCTGGAATTACAAGCATGAGCCACTGCGCCCGGCTGTACTGTCTCTTTATCTGTCTTAATGCTGTATTAATTTGGAAAATAATTTGGCTGCTTTCTCAGAGAGCAAAATATAAATGGCTTAAGCAACATAAAGATTGCATACAGAAGTCAGGCAAATCGACCGTCTCAGGGTTGAGGAAACTCCGCCGAAAGGGTTGCCCATGACCCTGGTTTCTTATGTTTTATTTCTTTGTCATTCCCTAGGATGTTGTCTCCATTTACAAGGCCAAAGCAGGTTCATCATCAGCTCATCACTCTTCAGCCCCAGGAAGCGCAGCATGGAGTTAAAAGGACAAGTAGCACCTTCTTTTAAACAAGTTCTGACTTTTCAAGGACATAACCAGGGTCTTTGCTTCTGGGGGAAGGTGTGTGAGTTAAATGTAGGCTGCTCTGAGTTAATGATGGGTTAAAGCAACCCATGTCACTTCCTTTTAAGGATGTAACCAGAAGCTCTTCCCATCACTTCTGTTTATATTATACTAGCCAGACGTTAGTCACTCTCCTGGCAGCAAAAGCCCTTCTTACTAAAAGATAGAAAGAAAGAATGGACAGTATGGGACGATAAGCTCTCTGCCACACACACCACACTGGGCATTAAGTTCTGAGTTTGTTCACCATTCTGTTAGTAATGCTCAGTACAAAGTGTTTAATGAAACAGCTAAATCTTTGACAGTGCTAGAACAAAGGATATAATTCCGGGAGTTTCTGAATATAGGACTGGATCTTTTTTCTAAGAGAAAGAAAAGTTAGACCGTTGTAGACCAGAATTCAGACTGTTCTGCGAGTTCCCTTGACTAAGGTCTGAATCTTGTTCTTTTTGATGAAATGGGGATAACTCTATTTGATCCCTAGTATGAGTTGGGAGCATTAAAGATCACATTTGGCAGTGTTCAGTACAAAGATCATGCTGAAAAATGCGATCTTCCCTTCCATTTGGAGAAGTGCTGGCAACATCCACTGTTACATTAGCTGGCCCAGTATCTGCCTGCTGTACCAAAACCATCAACTTGTACCACACCTGACTGGCAAAGCCAGTGAACACACAGTCAGTCTGCTCTCTTACGCATTCTACATTTTGTGTTGAGGTTAAGCTAAACTACCAGCAAGTTGGATACTTAGACCTAACATGTAATTGTCAAGAAAATTTTTGCTTTTTCTCATAACCCACATCTATGATACACAGCCCGACTGTGTTACTCTGGATTTGTGCAGGTCAAGCAGAGTTGAATCTGCTCCTCTAATTTAAGACCGTATTGTGCATATTCCACTTTTCCCTTCATCCTTAATCACCGACCTTTAGTGTGTGATACTGCTTTGCAGTTTTTTTGGATGCTCCTTCTTCTGGTGTCCTAAGGTATCCCCTTCTTCATGCCCTTTCACTGGGTATGGTCATACTCTGGTGAGATGTCTGAATCCTTCTGGGAACTCCTCAAAACAAGGACTGTGTTTTATTTATTATTTATTATTTATTTTTTTTTGAGACAGAGTTTCACTCTTGTTACCCAGGCTGGAGTGCAATGGCACGATCTCGGCTCATCGCAACCTCCGCCTCCTGGGTTCAGGCAACTCTCCTGCCTCAGCCTCCTGAGTAGCTGGGATTACAGGCACGCGCCACCATGCCCAGCTAATTTTCTGTATTTAGAGACGGGGTTTCACCATGTTGACCCGGATGGTCTCGATCTCTTGACCTCGTGATCCACCCGCCTCGGCCTCCCAAAGTGCTGGGATTACAGGCTTGAGCCACCGCGCCCGGCGGACAATACATTAAAAAATAGTAATACATGAGTCTGATGAGGAATGGACTTTAGAGAGTTTCAAAGTACCTTCCCACAAAATACACATACATTACAAAGGGGAAAAAAAGAGTAAAGAGTAACTTTATAGTGTGAGAAGCCTGGCAGAACTACCTTAATCAAGTGACCACAGTGAACATCATGAGTGACGGGACAAACTGACATTGCACGCCACGTGACAAGTGCACAGTGTTATTTGTAATCTGCCAAAGATGCATAACTTGAGTCTGATCACAAGGAGAACATCAGACACATCCTCATCGAAGGCATTTTACAAAGTAACTGGCCTGCAACCTTTACAGGTGTCAAAAGTCAAACCTCGCCGGGCGCGGTGGCAGCAAGCCTGTAATCTCAGCACTTTGGAAGGCTGAGGCAGGTGGATCACGAGGTCGAGAGATCGAGACCATCCTGGTCAACACGGTGAAACCCCGTCTCTACTAAAAATACAAAAAATTAGCTGGGCATGGTGGCACATGCCTGTAATCCCAGCTACTTAGGAGGCTGAGGCAGGAGAATTGCCTGAGCCCAGGAGGCGGAGGTTGCGGTGAGCCAAGATCAGCGCCATTGCACTCCAGCCTGGGTAACAAGAGCGAAACTCCGTCTCAAAAAAAAAAAAAAAAGTCAAACCTCAAGAACTGTTCCACACTTAACAGAGATTAGGCCAGGCGCGGTGGCTCAAGCCTGTAATCCCAGCACTTCGGGAGGCCGAGGCAGGTGGATCACAAGGTCGAGATCGTAGACCATCCTGGCCAAAATGGTGAAACCCCGTCTCTACTAAAGATACAAAACATTAGCTGGGCATGGTGGCACGTGCCTGTAATCCCAGCTACTCAAGAGGCTGAGGCAGGAGAATTGCCTGAACCCAGGAGGCGGAGGTTGCGGTGAGCCGAGATCGCGTCATGGCACTCCAGCCTGGGTAACAAGAGCGAAACTCCGTCTCAAAAAAAAAAAGGAAAAAAAAAAAAAAAAAAAAAAAAGAGATTAAAGAGATGTAGAAACGAATTGCAGTGGCTTCCTTTTAAAGCAGTGGTCCCAAATCTTTTTGGCACCAGGCACTGGTTTTGTCAAGATCATTTTTTTCACAGACAGGGTTGGGGAGGTAGTTTCAGGAAGAAACTGTTCCACCTCAGATCATCAGGCATTAGATTCTCATAAAGAGGCCGGGCAGCAGTGGCTCAAGCCTGTAATCCCAGCACTTTGGGAGGCCGAGGCGGGTGGATCACAAGGTCGAGAGATCGAGACCAACCTGGTCAACATGGTGAAACCCCAGTCTCTACTAAAAATACAAAAAATAAGCTGGGCATGGTGGCGCGTGACTGTAATCCCAGCTACTCAGGAGGCTGAGGCAGGAGAATTGCCTGAACCCAGGAGGCGGAGGTTGCGGTGAGCCGAGGTCGCGCCATTGCACTCCAGCCTGGGTAACAAGAGCGAAACTCCGTCTCAAAAAAAAAAAAAAAAAAAGATTCTCATAAAGAGTGCACAACCACCGGGTGTGGTGGCTCATGCCTGTAATCTCAGCACTTTGAGAGGCCGAGGCAGGTGGATCACAAGGCCAGGAGTTCAAAACCAGCTTGGCCAAGATAGTAAAACCCCATCTCTACTAAAATTACAAAAATTAGCCAGGCTGTGGTGGCAGGCACCTATAATCCCAGCTACTCAGGAGGTTGAGAACTGCTTGAACCCAGGAAGCAGAGGTTGCAGTGAGCCGAGTTTGCGCCACTGCACTCCAGCCTGGGCAACAGAGTGAGACTCCATCTCAAAAAAAAAGAAAGAGTGCACAACCTAGGTCCTTCAAATGTGCAGTTCACAATAGGGTTCATGCTTCTGTGAAAGTCTAACGCTGCTACGGATGTGACAGGAGGTGGAGCTCAGGTAGTAATGCTCACTAACCCACCACTAACCTCCCACTGTGCAGCGTGGTTCCTAATAGGCCACAAACAGGTACTGGTCTGTAGCCTGGGGGTTAGGGACCCATTTTAAAGGACATTATCAGGACAACTAGAGAAACGGAGAATTAGATGGCAGCGAGGTATCAATGTATTAATTTCCTGACTTTGATGGCAGGTGATGTAGAACAGTATCTTAAAGTGTAGGGAACACACATGGAAGTATTTGGGAATGATGAGGCGCCAAGCTGGTCACTTATTCCCAGATGGTTGCAGAGGGGCGGGAGGAGTTTTTTGTAACTTTTGTGTACAGTCAAAATAGGTCAAAGTAAAAGTTTTATTTGAAAAGTTTAACAGTTATTTTATTTCAGCAGTCTAAAAATTTTCCTTTTTCTTAAGAGGAAGAAGGCATTTTCACACCAGACTGGCCAGATGGGAAGAATCTTCAGCTTCAGCTTGGTCTAATTAATTTGAAAACAAATTGCTTACATGAGGCAGGCACCTGTGTCCAGCTGAAAGCGGGTCCTTCAGAGCATGTAGGGTTCTCTGCTGGCTTGATGGGCTGGCTCCTTCAAGCCGGTTGCTGGAGACGTCACCGGTTGAGGGACTCCTGCAAATGTTCATACATGACTTGATCCTGAGAGGAGGGAGAACATAGAATACAGAGCCCATCACTGCTTGTTATGGGCTGAATGGTGTCCCCCCCAAAATTCACATGCTGCAGTCCTCACCTGCAGAACCTCAGAATGTGATTGTAACTGGAGAGAGGGTCTTTACAGAGGAGTCTGGATTAAAACAAGGTCACACAAGTGGGCTCTTATCCAATATGCCTGGTGTCCTTACAAAAAGGAGGGAATAGGGCTCAGATGTGCAGAGGAAAGAGCACCGCTGGGAGAAGACAGCCATCTGTGAGGACACCGGCTTAGAAGAACCAACCCTACCCAACACTCTCCAGAACCGTGAGAACATACATTTTCCATTTTTTAAGCCACCCGGTCTGTGGTACTTTGTCATAGTAGCTCTTGCTGATTAACACACTGTTAAAGAGAGGTGACACTTTACTTTCCTGCATCTAAATACTAATCTAAATACTATACATGTTCCTTTCCACAGGAAACTCCCATGACTTTCACAATTGTCTACTAAGGCTTTTCTAAAAAATAAGGTCAAGGGCCGGGCGCGGTGGCTCAAGCCTGTAATCCCAGCACTTTGGGAGGCCGAGGTGGGTGGATCACGAGGTCAAGAGATCGAGACCATCCTGGTCAACATGGTGAAACCCCGTCTCTACTAAAAATACAAAAAATTAGCTGGGCATGGTGGCGCGTGCCTGTAATCCCAGCTACTCAGGAGGCTGAGGCAGGAGAACTGCCTGAACCCAGGAGGCGGAGGTTGCGGTGAGCCGAGATTGCGCCATTGCACTCCAGCCTGGGCAACAAGAGTGAAACACTCCGTCTCAAAAAAAAAAAAAAAAGGTCAAGATTCTTACGTTTCTATCTAATTAGTGAAGAAAGCACAATTCTAACCTATGCTGAATCCAGATGGAAATGGAGGTGAAAGCAGAAGCTTCTTACACTATATTAACGTTCGTAAGAAACTGCCAGAATGTTTTCCAATGTGATTGTATCTACATTTTCAGCAACAATGTATAAGAGTTCCCTGTAGGCTGGGCACAGTGGCTCAAGCCTGTAATCTCAGCACTTTGGGAGGCCGAGGCGGGTGGATCACTGAGGTCGAGAGATCGAGACCATCCTGGTCAACATGGTGAAACCCCGTCTCTACTAAAAATACAAAAAATTAGCTGGGCATGGTGGCACGTGCCTGTAATCCCAGCTACTCAGGACGCTGAGGCAGGAGAATTGCCTGAACCCAGGAGGCGGAGGTTGCGGTGAGCCGAGATCGTGCCATTGCACTCCAGCCTGGGCAACAAGAGCGAAACTCTGTCTCAAAAAAAAAAAAAAAAAAATAGTTCCCTGTAATCCCAGCATTTTGGGAGGCAGAGGTGGGCAGATAACCTGAGGTCGGGAGTTTGAGACCAGCCTGACCAACATGATGAAACCCTGTCTCTACTAAAAATATAAAAAATTAGCTGGGTGTGGTGGCACATGCCTGTAATCCCAGCTACTCCGGAGGCTGAGGCAGGAGAATCGCTTGAACCTGGGAGGTGAAGGTTGCGGTGAACTGAGATTGCATCATTGCAATCCAGCCTGAGCAACAAGAGCAAAACTCTGTCTCAAAAAAAAAAAAAAAAAAAAAAAAAGAGAGAGAGAGAGAGAGAGATCCAGCTGTTTCACATTCTTGCCACCAATTAGTGTTGTCAATCTTTTAAATTTTGGTCCTTGTGAGGTGGGTAGTAGAATCTCATGCGGTCAAATTAACATTTTAAGTGTTGGGCAGCAATTCTACTCCTGTGTATTTATCCCAAAGAAACATCTGAAGTGTGTTTTTTCTTCTGTGTTTGTTTGTTTTTGAGACAGGGCCTCGCTCTATAACCCAGGCTGGAGTACAATAGTGTGATCATGGCTCAATGTAGTCTCAACCTCCTGTGCTCAAGTAATCCTCCTGCCTCAGCCTCCTGAGTAGCTGACTACAGGTGCATGCCACCATACCTAAGTTTTCATTTTTTTGTAAAGACAGGGTCTCACCATGTTGCCCAGACTGAACTTGAAATCCTGGGCTCAACCCATTCTCCCACCTCAGCCTCCTGAGTAGCTGAGATTACAGGCACGAGCCACTGGGCCTAGCTCCAGAGTGATTTTTTTTTTTTAACCCTTCTCCTACCTATGGTGAAGATATTTGTATTTTCCTGAAATGTATGGTAAGTCCCTATGGCTTAGTTTGGGTACAGTCTAGCTCTAAGAAATACAAAGGCATTTGTCAAAAAGGGAAGAGGAGGTCAAATAATACTTGAATTAAATGATTAAAAATTCTGAGATTGTGGAGACAAAAGAGGTCATTCTCTCTCTGAATAAATAGTTGGTAGAGAATCTAGTTGGGAAAACTGTGCTCCAGTCCCTAAGAAACATATAAAATTAAAATCTCTGAAGAACATTCTCACAAAGGCTATTATTTTGCTTGTTTTCAGATCAAAATGAACCACATAATTTCGTTTTAGGAAGTAGAAGTAGTATACAAAACAATCTGTAAAAGAGTTTAATTCAACTAAAACTCTAGTTTCCTTTATACATTTAACAGCATTTCTTACCTTTTTTGATATAGATGATCTTACTTTCTTGAAAGCTTCTTCAAAGTGCTTATTACTAATCTTGAGTTCACCTATGGAGCAAATGCACAAATATACACATCTCAGTATGGTATGCTGACTGACTTAGAACTGAACTTCCTTTGAAAGACTTCTAAGCTCTCAAGGGGTACGCTAAAGAGATTAGTGATGCGATGGGCTGTGTATTCTTTTTCAGAACAGTATTCTAGCCAGATATATTCTGTTTATCAGATTTTAATCCAAAACCACTCAAAGAGACCTGCCACTCATAAGCTGGTAACCTTTTTTGGGCCTTTTTGCATTGTTTAACTTAATAGTGACGTTTATGGGCCGGGAGACCTGCCACTCAAAAGCTGGTAACCTTTTGTAGGCCTTTTTGCATTGTTTAACTTAATAGTGACGTTTATGGGCCGGGCGCGGTGGCTCAAACCTGTAATCCCAGCACTTTGGGAGGCCGAGGCGGGTGGATCACAAGGTCAAGAGATCGAGACCATCCTGGTCAACATGGTGAAACCCCGTCTCTACTAAAAATACAAAAACATTAGCTGGGCATGGTGGCACGTGCCTGTAATCCCAGCTACTCAGGAGGCTGAGGCAGAAGAATTGCCTGAATCCAGGAGGCGGAGGTTGCAGTGAGCCAAGATCGCGCCATTGCACTCCAACATGGTAACAAGAGCAAAAAACTCCATCTCAAAAAAAAAAAAGTGACGTTTATGAAGAAAAACCAGAATTATTCAGATAATTCAAATGAATTTAACTGGGAATGGAAAGTAGGATCCCACAGTATTAATATTTAAGACTATGCAACACACAATGAGATCTTACGGAGCCATAACATCACAGAATATTTTATATGCACTGGAATAGAAGGGGGCTTTAGGCCAGGCATAGTGGCTCATGCCTGTAATCTCAGCACTTTGGGAGGCTGAGGGGGGTAGATCATAAGGTCAGGAGTTTGAGACCAGCCTGACCAACATGGTGAAACCGTGTCTCCACTAAAAATACAAAAATTAGCTGGGTGTGGTGGTGTGTGTCTGTAATCCTAGCTACTTAGGAGGCTGAGGCAAGAGAACTGCTTGAACCTGGGAGGCAGAGGCTGCAGTAAACAGAGATCACACCATTGCACTCCAGCTTGGGTGACAGAACGAGACTCCGTCTCAAAAAAAAAAAAGGGGGCTTTAATTCTCTGCAAGGTTATGCCATTACATAAATAAAATAAAATAGCTAAATGTTAAATTCAACTTGGTTTAGAATGTAAATATGATAGCTTATGTGATGACAATTTATATTTAAAATACTAAACTTTCTACACAGATATTAGGATAGTATATTCACCTAAAAATAAAATAAAATGTGTTGTTCAGCATATCAGATGGAAGTTGAATGGCATTACTGACTTCGGTTCAGTAAGATATCAACAAAATTCCCTAAAGGATAGAGAGGTAGAAATGTAAGCTGTAGCAAGGCAGGGATGTCAGGGTTTGTTATTTATGTTTATAAGACAACCTCCAGGCCAGGCGCAGTGGCTCATGCCTGTAATTCCAGCATATTGGGAGACTGAGGCAGGAGGATCATCTGAGGTCAGATGTTTGAGACCAGCCTGGCCAGCATGGTGAAACCCTGTCTCTACTAAAAAAATACAAAAATTAGGCTGGGCGCAGTGGCTCACATCTGTAATCCTACCACTTTTGGAGGCCGAGGCAACCAGATCACTGGAGGTCTGGAGTTTGAGACCAGCCTGGCCAACATGGTAAAACTCTGTCTCTACTAAAACTACAAAAAAATCAGCTGGCTGTGGTGGCAGAGGCCTGTAATCCCAACTACTTGGGAGGCTGAGGCAGGAGAATGACTTGAACCCAGGAGGTAGGGATTACAGTGAGCCAAGATTGTGCCACTGCACTCCAGCCTGGGCAACAAGAGTGAAACTCCATCTCAAATAAAATAAAATAAAATAAAAATTTGTTTTATTAGAGAGGCACTACATAACTTAGATACTGCAAAATCCCAGAAAAAATCTGGACAGGTGCACGCCTATAATCCCAGCTACTTGGAAGGCTGAGGCAGGAGAATCGTTTGACCCAGAAGGCAGAGGTTACAGTGATCCAAGATCATGCCACGGCACTCCAGCCTGGATGACAGAGTGAGATTCCTTCTCAAACAAACAAATAAATACCCTCCAAACAAAACAAAATTGTTACTAGCAGTTCCAATACATGTACAGGGGCTCACTAATTTTTAGTAAACAAACATACCCCAAGATAGTGTTCAGATTCATCTCTCAGATAGAATATATGATTTTTTACAAGATATTTTAATTTTTCTTATTTATAACTCACCTCCTTCCAAAAGGAATTTAATGTAGTATATAGTAACAGAAGTTCAGATAACTGAATCTTAAACAACGAAAAGCCCAAGGGCTTCCTAATGTGTTGACAAATCTAATCTGAGCCTATGCTGCTATAACTACAAACAAATTTAGCTTTAAGAATTTTGGCAGCCAAAGAAAAAAGGGAATAGAGGAAAAAAGGAAAACCAATACAAGTTTAAAAAGACATCTTTTGGAAGTCTACTTAATGAAAGAAGATCAATATAAAAACTTCAGATGAAAGTACAGGTTTAGAGGACAGGGCAAATCTTTTTAATTAAAAAAAATTTTTTTTTTAATTATTTTTTATAATAATAGAGACAGGGTCTCCTTATGCTGTCTGGGCTGGTCTCGAACTCCTGGGCTCAGGCGATCTCAATCTTGATCTCCCAAAGTGCTGTGAGAC